TATAACAACAACGTCTCCGTATAATATTGCAAGCTGCCAAAGCACGTGCGTGTTGTTATACCATCTGGCCTGTAAATATCAGATTTGTCGTCTACTCTCGTATATGTGTTCCGTCCATCAGTCAGTCACAATGAAATCCATTTAGACAAGAGTAAAATTAGAGTATCTAATATTCAAATGTTGTTATTGTTGCTGTTGCCGACTCAAATTATAATTTTTGGGGTAGGCCGTCAAACGTTTGTTGGAGCTGGCCGATTGTGTGTGCCTCTGCTTTATATTGTGAAGGCCAATTAATTTTATATATTGTGTAGCATTGTAAAAAGTGGTTTATTGTGTGTGAGTATGTGTGTATGTCTCTCTCATTTGATTATTTATGGTGTTAAATGTCAAGCCTTTCGGCCCTAGTAGCGGATATTTTGTATGGAAAATCTTAAATTAAGAGAAAGAAAAATATTTTTACAAATTGTGTGACTCAATTTTTGCCAGCTGAGGTTGGTCGTACCCATTAAATGTGGACAATGCCAATGTATAAAAAATGTATACAATATTGTGAAGTTGAATGGTAACGTGACAAACAAAAAAGAGATTTCGTCAGTCATCATCCTTCATAAGGGCCTTTTTATTTTTAAAATCATTAGGTCCAAAAACCCGCATGAATTTTTAAGTCTACCTTTAAACGTAAAACAAGTTTCTTGTTATAAAATTTTGTTATATATGGGTGAAAATTGCATATCATTGTTACTTCTTATACCATTGTATAATGAATTTTTGAAAGAGTCCACTTTTCCTAACAGTAATTAACTGAGACTCTTGTTTGTAGCCTAAAAGTATTGTGCATACTATTGTGCTTATATAAAATAAAAAAAGAATAGAAACAGAAATTCTACGATGACTGATTAATAATTCGGTGATAAGCCAGATGCACAACCCCCTAAAACACTATAACTAAATTAACTGTTGCATATCTTTGCACCCAAAAATATACAGTATGATTAATATAACTTAAGAAATCAAAGAAATTTTTTTTGCTAAAACGAGGCATACTTTTTGGCGCTAAAAAATCAAAACTATAAAAAAACTAGCATTTAAAATGTATAGAATATATAAAATCGCCAAACCACATTATTCCATTAGTGATCAATAATTCGGTGACTTGATTTTTAAAAAACGTTCGCCAAAGTCCAGGTATACAACCCTCTTTTATTTTGCTAAAAAGTTGGTATATCTTCGCATCCAAAAATATACACTATGATTAATCTTATTGAAGAAATCAAAGAGCATTCATTTATTTAACTATAAAAGATGTATACTTTTAGGCGCTAAAAATCAAAACTATAAAAAATTAACATTTAAATTTCAAACATATGTCAGTCGACCCGTTACTCATAGTTACTCTATACATGATGCTTGGAAATATATATAGAATATATAAAATCACCAAAACAAATTATGTCATTAGTGCGGAGGGGTCTACGTTCTAAAACGACCCGAGTCGTACTCGACCAACGAGTACGACTCGATTTAAATTGAAATTTATCAAGGTCCGACATTTGTCTTCACTCTACAAACAGTCATTTTCAAAGCTGATTTTTGCGTTGGATAATTAATCCACACACCATGGTATACCCATGCAGAATGCTATGTGGTCAGGCTACATTTATGTTGCTCTGGAAATCTAGGTTCGAATCCTAGCCGTGCTCAGCTGAAATAATCTGTATTTATTTGAGATTTGCCTGTAAGTACGATGGTCAATTGAATAATTTTAAATCAGTCACAATGTGACATGTTGTCTATTTTTGGGTCTATAGATCCCTAGTAGAATTCCTCTGATCTTATTAATTTTGATAAACTCTATATGTGTTTCAGTACAGCCTCTTATATATAATTCATCATGCACCGTGAGGCAATTACTTAAAATTTGTTGGGTTCTCTCCGGTATCCACCTCCTTTTTTGGTAGTCCATTTTGAGACAATATATAGATTCACGTTTTGGTAGTGTAATAATGGGCTCCAATTTTGTATAGGTTTAAATTTTCTCCAGTTACTCTTCTTGGGGGCACATGACTTCCACACAACAGTCTGTGTTCCGTTAATCATTCCATTGATTTTATTCCAGCTAAGTATATGATTGGTCCGCATTTGCCTGTGCTAGATAATGAGGCTGCCATCTATCCTTGTTTAGAAACAACTCCTCATTCAACTTTGTGCTATGGTTTGAGTTCTTGCTTGTTTAATTGTGTCTATTTCCTCTGAATGGCGCATTCTCTGTCATTCTTATTTCATCATCATGCCTTAATGCCGAGGTTTGTCGTTGGAATATCAGTTGTTTTGAAGGGAGACGAAAGGCTCTTTTTACAAATATTCCAAAACCACTATTTTTTTTTTTGGTAGGGGTTCTAGAACCAATATTTCAATGTAATAAAAACATCATAGATTTGTAGGCTATAAAGACTTCCAATAACTTCATTTTAATAAAGTAATTAATTTTCAGCGCCCAAAAGTATGTAATATTTTTTAATGAAAAGCTAAACACAAATTTGAAGTATAGATAGCGCTCATATAGTGCTATATCAACCAAGGACAAATTTTAAGAGGGCTTACGTCTTCCCTGAAATAATAGACCTCATGCAACATTTAATAGAAAAATTGTTTGTTTTTAATTATTATTAAATTCCAAATTTAATAAATTTTTTGAACCTAAAAATATGCACTATATTGCTACTAAGTATCCATTTCTCATATGTATATTTCCGTAATGCAATATTTTGTAGATTTTTTTGGAATTTTTAATGAGGACCCCAAATATAATTTTTTTCATCACCTAAAAGTATGCACTAAAATGCTACTAAATACCCATTTCATATATGGAGTATATTTTTCTAATAGCGGAGGTTTGGCCTGACGGAATACAACGACTTCACAGACAGACTTCCTAGTTGGAATATTTGATATAGAATTGACTGCCATGGTTCGTAAAGGGTTAAATCAACTTCCTCGGATTATGAAATAAACGAAATGTGTATTATGAAATATTAAACATGTTTAAGATATGTGGTTTTCTTGTTTGTTTTTATTTTCCTTCCTTTTTCATATCAGTAGAATGCGTAAAAAATCATAATTTGTTTTCGGGCTACTGCTACACGGTGAAAGATTTTTTACCCCTCCAAATACTATAAATATAAAAACACGGGTAATCAACACCCTCGAGGTTTTGACATTTAAAAAAAAAACAGCAATAATAGCAACAATAATATTAAGAACACTAATCAGCAAACGAAGTTGCTGTGGTAAAAATTCTAAAGGTAGTTGGCGGCTGTAGAGAGGCAGCGGTGTCGTCGACGACATTAGGTAAACGTCAGTCAGACCATTACCTAGTTACCAATACAATGAAAGCGATATTTTTCTTTCTTTCACTATGAGGTTTGAGTTATTATTTTTACGATTTTTTTGTTGGTGTTCTGTTCGGTACTGTTAGCGTTTCATTTAACTGATAAGCGAAAAAGGCAACAACAGCAACACGAAAAAACGCCATCAGATTACAATTTCATTGTTATTATAGTATTCGGTGTTGTTGTTACTTTTTTGCGTTTATACCTCAAACAAGCAAGCAAACCACCAATTCTAAAGGCAAAAACACAAAAAACGTTCTGGTCTGTCTGCTGGCAAAAAAGGCTAGGCACTCATTTGTAGGGAAACCTATCTCGCAGTACAAGCAACGTTTTCTATTTGTTTTCTAAATAAATTATTAATTTTTTTTAACTATTAACAGAAAGTATTAAATAACGTGATGGTGTTATGTTACCAAAGATCCGACACAAATGGATGTGCTAAGAACCGTTTAAAACAAACAAATCAACGAAAACATAAATAAATAATATTATGTAAATAAAATCTAAAAAATGTAACAAAAATCTTCCACAAAAAAAGAATTAAAGCACAAATGATACCAAAGAAGTATTACTTAATCTAAGGAAAGAAATAAAAACAAAACACAGAAAAATAAAAAATATAAGCCAAATTATTGAAAACACTTAAAACCAAAAAATCCAACTACAACACTTCACCTCAACATCTCTTATTGCACTTCGGCAAACGTTAACCCCAAACAGTTCGATCCCAAAAATATTTCACAATAAAACAAAAAAAAACAGCATCTAGTTTTTATGCCACAAATAAGCCGCCAAAAAAAAATCACAACAACAACTACACAATCACATTCATACCAGCCAACCAAACAACCAACCACCCACCCACCAACCTCTCTTCAAAATTCTGCTTCATCACTTGAGACAACTGTTAAATCCACCAAATGAAAGATATTGATGTGAACGCTTCCATAGCAGCAGACAGCATCTCCACCGACTCGACTGCTACCAGCATCAGTTCCAATACAAATATCAGTAATAACAACAACAATAATAATAGTATAACGAATAACAACAACAACTACAATACAAAAACCAAAACAAAAATTGCTACTGCTGCAGCAAATGCTACAAGCACAGCAACAACAACAAACAATACAACATTCACAACACCGCCGCCACCAACATCGTTCGTTTATAAATGCCTGATAAAGACGGTGCGCTTTATGTGGCAAGTTACGGCATTACCGACAAAAATCGGTGAAACAATAGGTACCTTATACCGTTATGCACAGACCTCAGTCGATAGTATATTGTGTGTAGCTGGGTAAGAAATCCAATAGATTTTTAGAATTGAAACTAATTTAAAATACCACATACACATACGTATAAATACATAGACTTGTTGGTAAATTATATGTCCATCATATAAGCCCATTTGTGACGGGTTCTGTCTTCAATTTTGTAAAGCATTTAAATTACACACCTGTAGAAATTTCACGCTATTTCACCACCAGCCACCCTATTATTAATAATTATTTGATTTACCAATTGTGTGCTTGTGTTCTTTGTTCCCTTTGTTGTAATCGGTTTTTATTAATTTTGTTCTTCATTTCTTTTTTTGTATCATTACAGAAAAGCTCGTCGCAAAGAACGAGATGGCGATCAAAATTCAACAGATACCAAATTATATTTGGAGGAGAGTGTTTTAGAACGTAAATTACCTGAAGCTGATCTCAAAGCTCTAGTTGATCTACCAGCTGGCTTAGATTATAATGAATGGCTAGCATCGCATAGTAAGTATTGCATTAAATTCGATTATTATTAATTTGGGAAAGAAAAAAAATTAATCAAATAATGAACTTTTAATTTCCAATAATGCACCATGCAGTTTTGTATTAAATCATAGTCATCACCAGTGACTGTGTTAAAAGGCGGCTAGAGCCATCTGGTAGCTCACACAACAGCGTAGGAAATTTCTGCAAAGATTAATTTTTCTTCTCTGTGTAAAGAATTAAGTTCCACATCTGATTCCAAATATTTTATTTATTTCAAATATAAATTGTAATTTGCTAACAGGCCGTTTTGCTTCTATATTCTATAGACCAGTGGTAGGCATAATTAAATTTAGAGTAAGTGTAGGTGAGTGTAACTTAGAATTCATCACCCAAAATGAGTGAGGAAAAGAGAACAAATGAGAGTACGTTTTTAACCATTTACGCTAACGTATAATTTTCCGAAGTTTTGAACACTGATTCGTCATTCGATGGCGCCTCAGCTTGTCTATTATAGACCAGTGATGCTTATATACGGAAACTAGTGCCCTCTGGTTAGGCACTTGGCCTCTGCCTTCGCTTTTCTTATGTCCACTGTCAAACGTTTTTTTTTTTTTTTTTTTTTTTTTTTTTTGAGAAATATCGAGCATACCTTTTATAGACCCACTATCGCTATAATGGCCCGTCAGCTCGTTGACAACCCAGTTCGTCTACGATTGACTGCTTAGCTCATCTATGACAGACTCTTGGGGCCTTCAATTATTTGAGAATCAATAAAGTGTTACATACCACGGCAATTAACCTGTTCTTGTACCCTCTGTAAAGAAAATCAATAATAACAAGTGTTAAATCACGCATATTTTTAGAGTATAGAGAACTTCAACATCTGGAAATACCATAAAAACGGCTTTCTATTTCCTGGAGCACAATATTCAATGAAGAGCTATTACACAAAAAAATTGACGTATAGATGGCTGTCGTATATCATGACAAAGCGCAAATTAAAGATTATATTTTATCAACGCCTAAAGGTATGCACTGCACTCTTTTTGTCTAAAAGGGTTGACGATTAGCTGTTCGATGGCTAACAAAAAATAGTATTTAACCATATTTTTTATATGTAAGAAACATCTTAGTTGTATACAGTATAAATTCACCTAAAATCTTCCCTTCTTCTCTCTTTTCAAAGCATTGAACCCTGCTACTACATCTTTACGCACAAAAGTATTAATTATTTTCAATAAAAATCAACTAACTTTGTATTTTTGAAGTTGAATAATACAATATTATTGTTGTTGCTATAAGTTCCAAAAATTTGCTATTATCTATTTTTAAAGACATTGGCTGCTACACATATTTCCAATTTTTATTCGGAATTATTCATTATGTCATATCATTCAAAAATATATTTTGTTCGACACCTAAAACTATGCACTGGTATGGTATGACAGTATACCGGAAAATGGTTGCTCCTAGAAGTTTCAAAACTTCCAAAAACCTATTTTCAAAGGTGTGGGCTGCCACCCATATTTCAAATATAATGTTAGGAATATTCGGTAATATTAATGTCATTGAATATTATATTTTTGTAACCCCTAAAACTGTGCACTGCTCCTTACACCTTGTTTCAAAGGCCTTGGCTGCCGCCCATCTTTAAAATATATTATTCGGAATTATTCTTTATATCATGCCCATTCAAATTATAAGTTTCGACTCCTAAAACTGTGTAATGTTTCTAAGACCTATTTTTAAAGGCCGTGGCTGTCACCAATCTTTAAATTTATTATTTTTCAATGCCTAAAACTGTGCATAGTGCTTTGTTCTCAATGAAGGGGTCGGGAACGTTGACATATGACGATCAGTGTACTCATAAATTTTTGTTATATGTTCCAAAACTTCCTACGATCAATTTTTTTAAGCGAATAGGTACATTGACTTCCAGGACCCTCAATTTATTTCTTCATTGCATTATTTCTTTTGACGCACAAAAGTATGTATTATACATTCTTAATATTATAACGATTCATGCATATTTGCATAATTTTAATAAATTTGTTTCTAGGACACGTTTTAAAAACGTGGGACAGTAGTAGTATCCCTCGTGAAAAACCTGGCACAGCAATAGTATCCCTCCTGTGAAAATGTTTAATGTAATATTCAATTATAGAAAGATGATTTTCGTTGAATAATTATTAATAAAAATGTTTATATTGCATTTAGTGCATACTTTTAGGGTTTGAAAATTACATCAATATTATATTTTCCAACACCTAGAAGTATGTACTTAATCACTACTAAATTGACAATATTAAGATTTTTTTGACGAAGATCATATATTTCACCTATTTCGTTTATTTAGTTCCTTTTGTCGTTAACGTAGCTGATCGATCTTTCTCTTTTTTTAAGGACTCTTAGACTCTTCTTGTATCTCTCACATAGTATCGTGTTAATTCGTGAATGGATGACAAAATTGAAAATTGTGCAAAAATAAAAAAAACTATTTTAAATAATTTCTATTTAGTAGAATATTCAAAAGCTACAACTGAAGAACGATAAGCACAAAATATTTTTTAATAAATATATATTTTAAATAAATAAATTAAATAATTCTACTATTTACACAATAAATTGACAGCATTTGAAAATCGAACGACAACGATTGAAGAATATGGTGATAAAGGAACGAGATCAGAAAAAAGAACGGATAAAAAAGAAACTATATTAATTAAAGAACTGGAACTAGTTCCGATCGTTTTTTTCTCGGTATAGTTGTAATGAACTAGTTCATTCCGGATCTACCCAACTATACTGAAGTCAATCGAAAACTTTTTAATACAGTAAACCCCGCTTAATTACCTCAGTGAAAATTTCCAGAATTTTGAGTAATTATCCGTGGAAGGTAATTAAGCGACCACGGTTATTTACCTCGCTAGGGTAATTATCCGTGGACCCCGGTTAAATACCTAGCAAGGGTAAATATCGGGGTTTAATACAGTAAACCCCGCTTAATTACCTCAGTGAAAATTTCCAGAATTTTGAGTAATTATCCGTGGAAGGTAATTAAGCGACCACGGTTATTTACCTCGCTAGGGTAATTATCCGTGGACCCCGGTTAAATACCTAGCAAGAGTAAATATCGGTGGACACTAGTGTTTTGTTTCTTTCTTTTTTGCTTGATATATTAACTGGAGCTTTAGTTTGATAGACAAAGATGTATTTCTGGGAGACATTTCACGAAAACTTTCAAAACAATAGGTTTTATGTTCACATGTGTGGCAAGTGCACTAGCAAATGTAAGCCATTTTAAGTGAAGTTGCCAGATTAAAAAAAATACATTGGGTAATTACATGGGACAGATTTAAAGGTACGGTTACTTTGGGGTTGGTTATTTAGGGGCAAATAAATGAAATGGGTAATTAAAAGGGGGTAATTAAACGTGTAATTTTATAAGGGATTGTACTGAAAATAACTGGGTATTCTGAAATCGGACTAATTAACCGTGGAAGCTAATTAGGCGTGGAGGTAATTAAGCGGGGAATACTGTAGTGCATTTTTCTATAATGTTAAAATGCCAACAAAAAATAATATACTATTTTCTAATTTTAAATTAAACCTAAGAGAATATGTAGGAAGGGATGTATAACAGACCATTTAATAAAATTAAACTAGGTATTTTATTTTGTTCTTGCCATTTTCAAATCGATTAAAATTAAAAACTGGCATGACTATTATCCATAATTGACGCTTTTATATACATGTTCTGCTGGCCTTGAAAGTAAAATATTATTATTTTTTAACACATTCAATTAATAAATATTTGTTACCCTGTGGCTTTGTAAACTAATTCGATTTTTGAATTGAAAAATAATATTTTCCTAAATTAACACTATATTGCCGAAGGCGGTCATTTTGACCGCTTTTCAATTTCAAGTACCAAAACAACTGCGCATATAATAACACTTTTTTAAAATTTGGTGACTTTTTTATAATAAACGTAGTTCTATGTGGTACAAAAAGTCACCAAATTTGAAAAAAGTGTCATTATATGAACAGTTGTTTTTGTACTTGAAATTGAAAAGCGGTCAAAATGACCGCAATCTTGTGTTAAACATTACTGCGTTTAAAAGTGTGTCCACTAATACGATATTACTCCATTGTATCTAAACCCTCCTTTAATAATTCCCAATAGACAATCAAGTCCCACAACATGTCATGCCATCTTAATGTGTTTTTAATATTGTAAATTGTGTGTAATTAATCTTTAAATATTTGCGTGTTTAAACTTGTCTGTTTCACGACGATTTTTTTTTTCATTTAGAAAATATAATAAATTAAATTTGCAATTTATTTGACTTAAGAAGAAGAAGAAAAAGAGAACAGCTGGATTATGATGTAAGCATTGCAACCCACATATACCGCCACTTCTATTGTTGAGAACTCTTCTCCCAGGGAGAAAGTTGTGATGTTGGTGGTGATGTGATATATGGCATAAATGCTAATTTATTCATTACTTTATGGTAATATATCATGTCTTACAAAATGAAATGATTTTAGCTAAATATTAAGGTGGGTGTTAGTGGAATTTTTTAAAATGTCTCCTATGGGATGGTCTGCTGAAAAGAAAACAATGTTTGTGTAAGAGAAATTCTCTCTTGTGAGTAATACAAACGAATAATTCCCAAACTTTGTAATAATAATTTTCTTCTTAGTCAATATTTTGAAATACCAAACCACATATTTAGCACTTATTTTTATTTCCAAATCAATAAAAGAGAAAAGTGTGACAAAAAGCACAACATTTTGCCAATTTATTTCATATTACATCATTTTTTCTTTCTCTCTACAAAATTCGCCTTAGAGCCAAACTAGCTTAATGTCCAACACCAAAAGAAGATATATTAACGTTAAGTTATTCTTTTCATTTTATTGTCATAATAATAAATACCAATAATTGTATTTATCATCAATAGCTGGCTGGCTAGCACCTTATCCAATATCGACATTTGTTTATTTTCACTTTCTTCTTTGCAAATAACCCACAAAAAATAAAAGAAGAATACCCAAATGAAATAGAAATAGACGTTAAAAATAAGATTGGCAAAAACTTGTTTGTATCGAATTCAAATTAAAATTTATGCAAATTTTTGTTTTACACTTTTTTCGGGTATTAGTCATCCTTGTTGTCGGTTTATATGGCGGTCCGTCCTATTCTTCGTTTTTCTCTTGTGGCCCATGAATTAATTTTTTATTTAAAACAAAAAAAGAAAGGAGATGTTTGTTTTTACGCAGTTACTGTTGTTTAATGAAATTGATTAATTTAAATTGCTAACCCATTTGTTGTTGATAGAGACTGACTTGGCCTGGCTGTGAGTGATTGTTGGGTAGTTGATTTTTCTCGAGGCCATATCAAATTAGATAGTTGTAATCAATCATGGTTCGGATGTAACAGTACAATTTTTTTTTTGTAAAAGAGAATTGAACAGATCATCTCAAGTCTGATCAATGATAAGCTTTCAATTGTATGTACCCACCACTCCTAGGTATTTGAAAACTTTGTTGAAGTTAATTTCACTAAGCGGATGGTTTAGTGAAATTTCATGAATAACAAAAGTAAAAAAAAAACTACAAAGAAAACGGTAGGATCGAACGGTGCCGAATATTTGATACCTTACTCAACTACCAATTGACTTAGGATCGTAGTTGTGGCCTTAAGAGCGGCTAAAAGAACTCAAAACAAAGAACCTCCAACACTTAACCGATCATCACCAGAAACTATAGGTGTCCATGGCCAGAATCGAATTTTGTTGGCAAAAAACGGCCGGTTTTAGACCACCCTTATTAGTTTTTCAAAGTGCTTTTGGTCGGTGCTTCTTCCCCATAAAAGGTTTAGGTTCATTGGACTAACTCTTTTCAGATCGACCTTAATCAAATTTGAGATCAGAAAATGTTCAAAAGAAGCTCGTATAAACATGTGTATGGGTCTATTGATTAATTTTTATTGGTTTAGTGCGGCTCCTGTTTCAAATTTTCTACAGATACATCAGACAAATAAGTAATGACATTGATCCTGAAAGGGCTAACATTTTGAAATTAAAAAAATATATATATTCCATTCTTATTTTAGATGCCTCCGTGCAACATTTAAAATACAATCCATGAAATTGTGAAAAAAAATTATTCATATCAAAACCATTCAATTGTCGTGTTAAAAAAATTATTTGTTGATTCAAAATTATTTTATTTAAATTTCAATATTTAGAACAATATTTACTAATTCCAATATTTTCTCCTTTTTTCTCTCTACTTGCAGCATTGGCTCTATTCGAACATGTAAATTTGGTATATGGCACTATTAGTGAATTTTGTACCACATCGGGTTGTCCCGATATGACGGGACCGGGCAATAGGTAAGTAATACACACACAAAATATTTTCAAATCCCTATTTAATGATAATCAAATTCCCTTCTCTCCCCCATCTAGAACGTACTTATGGTTTGATGAGAAAGGCAAAAAGACGCGTGTTGCCGCGCCCCAGTATATCGATTATGTTATGACGTTCACCCAGAAAACGGTTAGCGACGAATCGATATTTCCTACCAAATATGCCAACGAATTTCCCAGTTCGTTTGAATCGATTGCCCGTAAAATTTTACGCTTGCAATTTCATGTGATAGCACATCTCTATGCGGCCCATTTCCGAGAAATTGCGCTGCTGGGATTGCATACGCACCTTAATTTAACATTTGCCCATTTGACCGCCCTGCACAGGCGTTTCAATTTAATCGACGAAAAGGAGACGGATGTATTGCGTGATCTAGAAGTGGCTTTAAGATTGACCGATGACACAACCAGTAGTGCTGGTGGTGGCGATGGTTCGTCGCAGAGTGATTCGACGGCCGGCTCAATGATGTCGTCATCGAGCGCAGCAGGTGATAGTGGGAAGCAGTGTGGGGAAGATGTCAATTCAGTGCAACACAATAATACAGCAGCGTCGCTGATAGATGGCGGTGGCGTGCCGATTTGCACCCAGCCAGAGGCTGGCACAAAGTCACAACAGTTTGGTGGTGTGGGCGGCGGTGGCGGCCTGATTGGCGGTATTTTGGGTGATTTGAGCAGTGGCGAATTTGGTGATACTATGCATTATTGTACTTCGGCAGTTCCTGCTTCCTCCACTAACTGTTCGGTAACAAATCCCCTGCAGAATACGACACCTTCCACCTGCAATTCCATGAATGGCACCTGCAGTGCGGCAGATGGTGGCGGCGGCGGAGGAGTTACAGCAAATGGTAATAATGGCGCGGGCGCTTTTCACCAACACAACAATAACAACCATGTAACACAACACCATCTCCATCATCATCCACATCATCATCATGCGGTGCACCATCACCATCATCATCCGAATCATTTTGCGCAAAATACAGGCCTCATACAGTGCAATGCTAGTAATGCTCCTACAGCAACGGCTGCAACTACGTCAACAACAACAGCATAGCTGCTCTAGATTAATCCTCAACAACAACAACAACAAACAACAACCTTTTCCTACTACTGCAACAACAACTATAATAATATTAATAACAACAACAACAAATGTACTATCCTTACCCTAAGTTTTCTGTTTTGAAATGAACACAACAACAACAAAAACAAAGTAAATAAAATTAAATTTAGTTTTAAACGAATAATGAAAAGTTGAAAAATTCAAATAAAAACAAATTAATGTTAAATATATTTAAACAAAAAGTAAAACAAACAAAAAACAACAACAAATACAATGTTTTATTAGTTTTTAAAGAAAAGAAACACAACAACAAAGTAAATAAGTTTTATTTCTTTCATTTTTTAATTTTTAATTTAATTCTTATGTTTTTTTATTTAAATCAAAACCAAACCACAAGAAAATGTGTGTATTTTAGCAAAAATTGAAAAAACTGTCAATGTAAAAAATTTAGAAGAAAAAAAAAAACAAATGATGCAGAATGATGATGACGTAGAAGAGAATGAATCGTTTAAATAAATTTTGAAATTGCCCACGTAATTCAAAATTATTCTAGAGGATAGGGAATGTCAAATTTAAGGGAGATGTGCATAAAGTTTGTACCTTGCGTCAATATATTGCCATATAAGGCATTTTGCCACGTATTGAGGCATATATTGTTGATTAGATATGTAGGGGATTAGAGAACTAATTTAAATGTCCTGTCAAAATTATTTAAATAACTGTGTATTTGGAATATGTGAAGTAGGTCTTAAATTGATGTATTGGCTTTGAACAACTAATTTTAGTGATTTTTGGAAAATAGTTAATTTAATTCCTTTGTTATCTTATATGCGTCGTTTATTTTGAAAGTGGTCCCTTTTAGGTTCTGATACAAATCTTGGTTTTCTAGAAACATTAATACCACTTAGCAATATTTTTGAAAAAAAAATCAAATTCCAATATTTAAATATCTCAATATAAGAAAAAAAATGGACTTAAAGCACTTTCGAAACAAGCGACTCCATTATCAGTGCGGTTGTACTGTATTGGGCAACAGCAACGAATTTTGTTTATATTAATTAAATTTGTGTTTTAATTAAAGTTTTATGTTTTATCAAGGGACAAATCGAGAAGAAATGAGTATTACAGATCTCAAAGGAAAACTAAAAATAGTTCCAAAAAATTTTTAAATGATTTAAGGCTAGCGAGAAGCAACCAACCAATATGAATGTTAAAACATGACATTTGAATATTTGGGAAGTCTCATCCAAAGTAACGTTACGAGCACTAAAATTAAATGCTAGCTGCTTCTTTAATAATTACATTTGAACGTATTCGAGTGAGTTACTGACAACCATTCCGGGAAGTTCAAATCTTTTGGTTGTTTCGTTAGTCTTAAATTCAACTGGAACATACTAAAATGAACTCTGATCAACATACTGATTTAATTCTTGATTATATATGACCAGTCCGGTTAAATCAGAGGTTTGTTTATAATTTCTGGACTATTTCTGGATGGACTACTTAAATGACTTTAATTGGCTCTTTCACTTTATTTACAAAATTAATATCATACAAATTATCCCATTTGTTTTCTAGAATGGTTTAAAATTAATTAATCGAAAAAACTTATCGTTCTTTAAGCAGTGAAAGTCGGACAATTTATAAGTTATAGAGGAAGATTTTTCGAAAATCAAAGAAATTAGAATGAAAACTGTAATCTACTCATAATTGCCACGTTTAAGACTTTCTTTGAACCATTGAACTCCGAATTTTTTCTTGGTCCATATAACATTTTTATACACAGATAATTAATGCAATTCTAGATCGATATAGTACATTCTTACTGGAAAATAAAATTCATAAAATTTTAGGAGAAGCAAATATAATAATAAAAATAAAATAATAATAATGCTAGTGGGCCACATTGGGACTTAAAATTTTAAAAGGCTACATTGAAGTTTTTTTTGTAATGAAATAAATCCAAATTAGTCATTGTATTCATGAATTTAAAATTATTTATGGTTTAAAAATTTCTTATTAAAAAAACATACGAAGTAAATTCGTAAACTGAAACCATTTTTCTGTGTTTTAGGAAATATATGTTGCATATGGTCGAATGACAGACATAAACATGATTTGTTTGAATTAAACAAAATGTGCCTGTGGCTTATAACTTATAAATAACATGATCTCACTGCTGATGATTTTTAAATGTCATCCAATATGGCTACTTTGACACTTGCAATTCAGAAGAAATTGTCTCACATATACTTTGCGAATGCACCGAATACAGCAACACAAGATCAACCTACCAAGACTATTGACATCCTCTAAGGCGAGAATTTCATGAATAAACACCAACAAGTCAAATTCATAAGAGAAATCAAAATAGAAATTTAATAATTTGTCGTGGCACTAAAACGGATGCGATTCAAGCCGGCTAGCCATCAATACACCTTTCTCTAAAACACTAGACTAAGGCCTTTAATTCAGAAAAAAATTATATGAACTTATTGATAAATTGAAGGCGGAAACAAATTTATACGTAGGCATACCAAATTTATTACTCAATGCGTTCTGTTTTTAATTAATATTGAGAATTGGTAGAACCGAGCTGCAAATGTTCTATTTATAATGAAGTTTGAGAATGTACACTTTTGTACGAAACATACTTGCATGATTTGAATGTTGTGGTTTAATTCATTGCTGGAAAATTGTCCTAAGAATTATGTTCAATATTTCGAAGAGCTAGAAGAAAATTGTTAAAGTCTCGTCGTACTTTACTTATCAAATATTATTCATATTCTGGGAATTTATAATATTTATAGTACTTTATAATTATATAGTAGTAATATTTATAGTACTGTAGTATGAACTGTTGAAATAACTCAAGGATATGTTTTAATTTTGAATATCGAACAAACCGTCAACACTGCAGCAATTAGTTTTCTGATAGTTGTAAAAATTTAATTAGCCTAGCAAAAAGTTTAAGAAGAGGTGTGATATGTACCTATTTAACCAAGTTCTTCTAATAACTATTTTCCCAACAAAAAAGTGCCGACTGACGCTTTCTATGTTCAATGCCAAGGGACTTCTTTTTTTGGACAAAATATTCTGAGATTTTCTGAAATTTTTTTTAAAGAAGGGTTCAGAATTAACTATTACTGTAGTCAATGATTTGACATTTTCTTTTATTCTCATAATTATATTTATGTGGAACATCCCCATAAAAGGTCTGATATTTCCCCTTTGGAACAGTTTTTAAGATTTTTCACCTGTATCACTTAAGCTATACAAACATATAGCAATAGAAAATGTTTTTAACACGTTGACGGACAGTAGAAACAAGTGAAATTCGAAAACATGACATTAGGCTTCTACTTGTACGCTGGTAAATGCACATTTGTGCTGCTACAGCCGTCATGTCACATAGTGAAATTGACGGCTATAGACGCAACTGTCCGTCAACGTGTTAATACTTCTGTAATGTTTTTATGAAACATTTTATCTAATTCTTCAATTCTTAAAAAAATAAATAGCTTGCGAATTTATTTGAATTTGATATTCCCTATACTCTAGATGCGGCAATTGTTGAATTCATGGGTCACATTATAGAATGACACGAAAATCATTAAATAAAACCAAATTTGAAAATTAAAAATCTTACTATACTCTCTTTTTTCATTTATTTCAGACAGAAATTCTTCTATTCTTCAATTATGATAATGATGATGATGTAATCGTTAGGTAAAAGTATATAATGTGAACCTGTTTATCGATAGTGTTTGAAACAGGACACAGTGACACGCTTAAAATGCTTTATATTTATATAAATCTACACAGTATATATATAATAAATAAATGAAACATATGTATAACTACAAAACAAAAACAACAACACATTATAAAATACAAACATCTATACACTAGTACTATCACATAAATAATATAGTAATAATAGTAACAACAACAACAGCAGAAAGAACACTTTATATAGTTTTTTAGATTTTAATTGTAAAAAAGAAAACAAGGATTATGGATTGAAAGGAAACAAAAAATGTTAAAGCAAAAAGTTCTCTTATACAATAATTATAAACAAATAAAATTATTTAATAACAAAAACTTACACAAAACAAATGAAATTCTTTTAACAAAACAAAACTCGTTTGAAAAAAGGAGAAAGTTCAACTTGAAACAAAATAAAGAAATGTTAATGTAAAACAACAAAAAAATGTTATTCAATTTTCCCCCCACATCCCAAAGGTATGAATAAAAGTAAAATCCACAAGTAAAAAAAGAATAATTCTCCTGTTCTCCTATTGTAAAGTAAAATAATAATGATAATATTATGAACATTACAAAAAAGTAGTCTGATTATAGCCTAAAGAAATGATTAATTATAAAATAAATATAATATAATAAAAAAAAATACAAATGAAAATTAAAAACAAATCCTTAAATTTAACAAAAAACAACAAGCTCCTCCTACAAAGCACTTAAAAAAGGATAAATGAATGAATGCATAATAAAAACACACTCTACCTTACAAAAAATAATAAAACAATCACGTTTTTATTTTATGTTTTTTATTGAGTGTTTCTGTTGTAAATGGGTAAATGCGGACGAATTATATCAATTTTCAAAATCATATGTTTATGCTTTACGTTCTATTTATTTTGTGAGGTATAAAAATATAGAAATTGTTAGAAGAAAATGAATGAAATTTCAATTATCAGTTTTTATAGTCGATATTTTAAATTTTGATTTGAAAATTGTAGTACACTTCGAATATGGGCAAGTTTTCTCAAGTAAAAAGTTTGTAGAAATTGGAAAATATGTTTGTTTTTTTTTCTTTTCTTACAACTTTTCCAATGAAATATAATATCGATAATGGCTACCAAAAATGTCGGGAGTTAAATTACGACATTTTTGGTAGCCATTATCGATATTACATTTCTAGAGATTAGAACTATTAAATATTAAATCAGATTTTCCCAGCAATAATACTATTTAGACGTCGTTTACAGAACGGTTAGTAGATATTGAAAAGTTTTAGCTACATACGAGAACTCATAACAAGGGCTCGATCGACCAAAATGTGGAATTGAGGTGTCGTACAGACCTAAGTTAAAATACACTGAGGTCAGGTCATCAGAAAAATGCATGGCCAACGATTTTCGCAGCCGG